AAAAAAAAAAAAAAAAAAAAAAATGGTAGGGGAGAAAAGAGAGAAAGAGGAAAGAAAATAAAGAGAGAGAAAGAAAACTTAATGATTAAAGCAGAGTCAGAATATGGAAGCCTTCAGATACAAGTTTAAGGAGTTTGGATTGATGTAATTAAGAATAGTTAGCCATTTTAAAACTCTGTTAAGTGCCTTACATAACTTTTGCATGTAGAGAATAGTTTAGGAGAATGAAAGATCCCAAAGAACTATCCCTTTCTCATTTCCATTTGTAAATTGGACAAAAATTTCCCTGTATACTTGTCAGTCTATTTTGGACTCATAGACCATCAAAGCTAGAAAGAATTTTGGATTTTACCAGGCCCAGTCCCTTATTTAATAAAGGAACTAAGAGATAAAGTGTTTGCTCAGGGTCATATGGGTACATATTGGCAGGGTCAGCCCAAAACCCAGTTTTCAGGCCGGGCGTGGTGGCTCACATCTGTAATCCTAGCACTTTGGTAGGCCAAAGCAGGAGGATCACAAGGTCAAGAGATTGAGACCATCCTGGCCAACATAGTGAAACTCCATCTCTACTAAAAATGCAAAAATTAGCCGGGTATGTGACCCACACCTGTAGTCCCAGCTACTCGGGAGGCTGAAGCAGGAGAATTGCTTGAACCCAGGAGGCAGAGGTTGTGGTGAGCAGAAATCATGCCACTGCCCTCCAGCCTGGACGATAGAGTAAGACTCCATCTCAAAAAAACAAAAAAAACAGTTTTCTCTTATATATTTCCCCATTCAGCTTTTTTCCTCTTCAATAAAGCAGGATTTGGAAAAACTGTGGCAGAATTTGGTTTTCTAGAAATACCTGCGTATTCTACATGTTACTGTTTCTCACAGGGTATTTTTCTGCATGTTTCCAGGTCATCAGATTCTGAAAGTACATCAGATAAAAGGGACTGTACTCATTGGAGTCCATTTTGTGGGCTACTCAGAGAAGAAAAGCCCAAAAGTGAGTGGAGATTGTAATATAAGAAACATAAATTAAATAATTGTAGTGTAAAGCTCTTCTTTAAAAGTTGTACAACTTACATAAACCTGAGACCTCTGTGATTCTGTTATTTTTGGCACTTGAGAGAGTTCTAGAAACGTCTCCCATAGAGCTGAAGAATTAGACATTTATTTTATTATTATATATATATATATTTTTGAGATGAAGTCTTGCTCTGTCACCCAGGATGGAGTGCAGTGGCAATATCTTGGCTCACTGCAATCTCTGTCTCTTGGGTTCAAGCAATTCTCCTGCCTCAGCCTCCCAGCTAGCTGGGATTACAGTTGCCCACCCCCATGCTCAGCTAATTTTTGTATTTTTAGTAGAGATGGGGTTTCGCCATGTTGACCAGGCTGGTCTCAAACTCCTGACCTCAGATGATCTGCCTGCCTCAGCCTCCCAAAGTGCTGGGATTACAAGTATGAGCCACCGCACCCAGTCAAGAATTAGACACTTATATTCACCTTTGTGGTTCTTATTATATTTCTAGGAAATTTCCAACTTGCCCATATCTACAACTGTGGAGCTGCTCCTGGTAGATGATGTAACTGTAGTGCCTGACAATGCCACCATCTATAACCACCCTGATGTGAAGGTAGAAACTGTATGAGTCTAGTTAAATGGAATTATATTGGAGGGGAAATTATTAAAATTAATAGTATAACAATTAAAAAGCTCACTTATGTGTTGAAAATAACTGATATATATATGTAAAACACATATATAATAGTTGTACTCTCCTTAAAAATTATAATTTAATAATTGTATTTTGTCTTTTGTGCGTTTAATTTAATCTTTTTATCCCCTATTCTTTCTTAGGTAGGTAGAAATTATTTCCTTTGAGCTATTTATAAACTGAAGGGAACAGAATATTGTCTGATTTTTCCATAGGAAGTATTTACCCTTATGGAAGGATCTGGTTATTTTTTAGTCAACAGCAGTGAGCAGGATGTTGTCACCATCATTTACATGGAAGCAGAAAGCTCTGTTGAGGTGAGCTCTAGAGATAATCCCAGATTGATAGTCTCAGGCCAAAGCTCATTCTTAGGAGATTAATTGGAAAAATTCCATTGTATGTCTAAAACTTGTTACAGAAGTAACATTTGCCTTTTTTTTTTTTTTTTTTTTTTTGAGACAGAGTCTCCCTCTGTTGCTCAGTCTGGATTGCAGTGGCATGATCTCAGCTCACTGCAATGCCCACTTCCTGGGTTCAAACGATTCTCCTGCCTCAGCCTCCAGAGTAGCTGGGACTACAGGCGCATGCCACCAGGCCCGGCTAATTTTTTGTATTTTTAGTAGAGACACGGTTTCACCATGTTAGCCAGGATGATCTCAATCTCCTGACCTCGTGATCCGCCCGCCTCAGCTTCCCAAAGTGTGGGAATTACTGGCGTGAGCCACCGCACCCAGCCCGCCTCTCTTTCTTTCTTTAACCTACATAAATGCTTCAACCAAAAGTGAGCACTTTTTTTGCTTCTGGTAGAACTGGGACAGTATAAGAGGTCTTTAGACGATTTCCATTAAAAGAAGTTTCATTTTTATAAGTTTCAAAACACACATCTGTGTAGATACTTAAATATTTATACTACTGACTTTTTTTTTTTTTTTTTTTTTGATATGGAGTCTTGCTCTGTTACCAGGCTGGAGTGCAGTGGCACAACCTCGGCTCACTGCAACCTCCACCTCCTGGTTCAAGTGATTTCCCCTACCTCAGCCTCCCAAGTAGCTGGGACTACAGGTGTGTGCTACCACGCCCGGCTAATTTTTTGTATTTTTAGCAGAGATGGGGTTTCACCAAGTTGGCCAGGATGATCTTGATCTCCTGACTTCATGATCCACTGCCTCGGCCACCCAAAGTGCTGGGATTACAAGCATGAGCCACAGTGTCTGGCCCGACTTTATTTTATTTTTCTGAGATAGAGTCTCGCTCTGTTGCCCAGGCTGGAGTGCAGTGGTGCAATCTCGGCTCACTGCAACCTCCACCTTTCAGGTTCAAGTGATTCTTCTGTCTCAGCCTCCCCAGTATCTGGGATTGCAGGCGCCCACCACCATGCCTGGCTAACTTTTATATTTTTAGTAGAGATGTGGTTTTACCATGTCAATCAGACTGGTCTTCAACTCTTGACCTCAAGTGGTCTGTCCACCTCAGCCTCCCAAAGTGCTGGGATTACAGGTGTGAGCCACCATGGCCAGCCACTATTGACTTTATAACGTGAGTATATGATGTTTTCAGCCAGGACATGACAACTCAAAACATTAACCTAACTCCATAGTCAGTATGCCAAAGGATTTGTTTTTACTTGACTTACAGTAATAAAAATAATACCATGTGTTAATATATGTATATAGTTCCTTAGAGCTCAAAGTAATTTAACTTATCCTAGTCATAATATATGTTTTAAAAAGGGAAGACTGAGGTACAAATGATATGAAAAAAACATGCTATTGTGCAGGAACTGTAGTACAAAGAAAGAAAATCCAGTGCTAGTTGTTCCAATGCTTTCTCCCCCTACTAGTGATTGTGGCATAAGTGGATGTGATTTTTCTTCATGACATCCTTTCCCTGTTCATAATTAAGAAGCTGGATATGTGTATTGGATTCTGCTTGAATTCAATCAACATAAATTCTGTTCTTTACTATTTGCTTTTTGTTTTGTTTTGCTCTGCTCTGTAGAGATAGGGTCTCACTCTGTTGTTGAGGCTGGAGTGCAATGGCCTGATCATGGCTCACTGTAGCCTTGAGCTCCCAGACTCAGGTGATCCTCCCACCTCAGCCTCCTGAGTAACTGGGATTACAGGTGTGTGCCACCATGCCCAGCTAATTTTTGTTGTTCTTTTTTTGTTTTTGAAAGAGGATCTCACTCTTTCCCAGGCTAGAGTGCATGGCATAATCTCAACTCACTGCAGCCTCAAACTCCCAGGTTCAAGTGATCCTCCCTTAGCCTCCTGAGTACCTAGGACTACAGGCACATACCACCATGCCCAGCTAATTTTGGTTTTGTTTTGTTTTGGGTAAAGACAGGGTTTCATCATGTTGCCCAGGCTTGTCTCAAACTCCTGGGCTCAAGCAATCCTCCCGCCTCAGCCTCCCAAAGTGCTGGGATTATAGGCATGTGCCACCACACCCAGACTTGCTAATTTTCTGTTTTAAGTTTTCATAGAGACCAGGATTTTGCTTTGTTTCACAGCCTGGTCTTGAACTCCTGGGCTTAAGCAATCCTCCTGCCTCAGTCTCCCAAAGTGCTAGGGTTATAGGCATGAGCCACTGCACCCAACCTATATGTGTTAAGGTACATATTTTGGCATGATCGGAAACATCACATTAAGGGTACATATTATGCTACGCCTGAATAATATTACATGACCTCTGAGAGCCCCCAGTTCAAAAAAAGCAAGATGTTGTCTTTTATGCTTTGGGTAAAAATAGTTGCTTTGATTATGCTTGGAGTATGTTTGCTTCTTTATCCAGCTACCATCTTCTTAATTCTAGTTAGTTCCATTACATCCTGGATTTCTTGCCTTGGAGGTGTATGATCTTTGTTTGGCTTTCTTGGGTCCAGCAACAGCCCATCTCAGTGTGTCAGACATACAAGAGCTGGAGCTTGATCTGATTGATAAGGTGAGACATCTTTGCTTTATCTCAGAAATTAGGCAAGTCTTATTTTTAGTCCCCAGCAACCCTTAATAGAGTCTCTGCTCAGCTACTGTGTGTGTATACCAGGACTTCTGGTAATGTTAATGGAAATACCTGCCCTTAAAGAACAACATTTCCTGGCTGGGCACAGTGGCTCATGCCTGAAATCCCAGCACTCACCAACATGGAGACCAGCCTGACCAACATGGAGAAACCCTGTCTCTACTAAAAATACAAAATTAGTTGGCTGTTGGTGGTCATGCCTGTAATCCCAGCCACTCGGGAGGCTGAGGCAGGAGAATCACTTGAACCTGGGAGGTGGAGGTTGCGGTGAGCTGAGATCACGCCATTGCACTCCAGCCTGGGCAACAAGAGTGAAACCCCACCTCAAAAAAAAAAAAAAAAAAAAGAAAGAAAGAAAACATTTCAACATTAAACAGATGAAGATAAATAGACTGTTAAAGAAAAGCTTAAAACAATGCACATAGATTAAACTTATTTGATTAAAGCCTGACCAGAATCACTTAGCATGAAAAAAAAAGTATGCTGCCCTCTAAGAGTTAGACTGCCATTGGTGAATAAGACACCTTTACTAAAATCTTTTTCTTTTATTTTTTTTTCTTGTCAGGTCCTAGGGCTTAAAAATCTTTTTCTTTTTAACTACTAGGTTGAAGTAGGAAAAACTGTGTTAGTGACTGTGAGGGTTCTTGGCTCTTCCAAACGCCCATTCCTAAATAAATACTTCAGAAACATGGAGCTCAAACTGCAGTTGGCTTCTGCCATTGTCACCCTGACGTAAGTACCATTTTTTTTTTTTAGTAGAGTATCATCTGCTAAAGTACCATTTCAATACTTCCTTCTCCCTATGCATAATATCATAAAACTCTCTCTCCTTGTAACCTAGTCAGCTTTCCCTTAGATTATTTCAGATTTTCTCCCTTCCTTTTTTGTTAGACTATATTTCAGCCCATATACTCTGTTCCCATATTCAACTTTCTACAAAATACCCATTTGAGCCTGGCATGAGGGTCCATGGCTGTAGTCCCAGCTACTCAGGATGCTAGGGCAGGGGACTCACTTGAGCCCAGGAGCAAGAGGCTATGATATGCTATAATTGCACCTGTGAATAGCCACTGCACTGAGCAACATAGCAAGGCCCCCATCTCTTAAAATACACACACACACTTGCTGTTCTCAGATGCCTTGTTTTGGGGCTAAGATCATGTGTCATTAATATTTCCATTTTCTGAAACATTTCCTTGGATGATATCCTTTGGGGGTACTTCAGGCTAGAGGACCCTTCAAAAATATATTTAGAGGCAGAGATACTGGTAGTCCCTCTGAGAAAGGAGAAATTCAGGAATTCCAGGCAATTTAGTATTTGCAATTTTACCAGTCTATATTTCCTTATTTCTCTGGAGCCTTAGAACAAATTTTTGCCTCTCAGGAGACTTCCGCCATTCCCATGAAATTTGTCTGTACTCTGGAAATTTATTTTCTGCCAATTCCCCCAACCCAGAGTTAAAATGAGCAAAAAATGTTAAGCACCTTGGAAAGATACACCACTGGCCACTCTCAGAACCTAATTTTGGCCAGGCATGGTGGCTCATGCTGTAATCCCAGCATGATGAGAGGCTGTGGCAGGCAAATTGCTTGAATCCAAAATTCAAGACCAGCCTGGGCAACACAGTGAGACCCCAGGTCTACAAAAAAAACATAAGAAAATTAGCCAGCCATGGTGGTATGTACTTGTAGTCCCAGTTACTTGGGAAGCTGAGGTGGGAGGATACCTTAAGTCTGGGAGGTTGAGGCTGCAGTGAGCTGAGATCATGCCACTGCACTCCAGCCTCAGCAACAGAGTAAGACCCTGTCTCAAAACAAAACAAAAATCTTTCTCACTTGAGAATACATGGGTTTTTGCAGGCTAATGGAGGAACAAGACAAATACTCTGAAAATTATATCCTTCGAGCGATCACTGTTGGGCAAACCACACTTGTGGCTATTGCCAGGGACAAGATGGGAAGAAAACACACATCAGCTCCTCAGCACATTGAAGTAAGGAAATTATCTCACCCCAAATTTGTGCTTTTTCTTGTAAAGTTTATTCTCTGTAGGTTTATTGCCAAGTTAAAAACGAGGAATCTGAGGCCAGCACAAGAAAATTAGATGCCAAATTATTCAGCTCCCGGGCGAGGTTCTGTGATCCCGTGCAGAGAGACCAGGGAAGTCGTGCTCAATGCCTCTCAGGAGTGGGGTTTTATAGGGAGTGAAGGCGTTTGATTGGATTTGGAGAAACAGGATATGGACGGGGTGAGCTGCTATTGGGAGGTAGGTGGGATTTCCAGTGAGTGGACTAAGTGCTGAGTGCAGAGGGATTTCCAAGGGCGGGGTTAGGTGCCCAGTGCAGAGGGGATTTCCAAGGGCGGGGTTAGGTGCCGAGTGCAGAGGGGATTTCCAAGGGCGGGGTTAGGTGCAGAGTGCAGAGGGGATTTCCAAGGGTGGGGTTAGGTGCCCAGTGCAGAGGGATTTCCAAGGGTGGGGTTAGGTGCCGAGTGCAGAGGGGATTTCCAAGGCGGAGCTAGATGATGGGCATATTCTGATAATGTAATTTTCAAGCGGGGAGGGAGATGGGCGTGTCCAAACTCCCGGCGAGGCAACCAGCCTTACATTTCTTGCTTAACCTCATTTGTCTTTTTCTGTTGGTTTATATAAGTTAAAAATCATCTGACTGGCTGGGCACAGTGGCTCACACCACCATTTGAGCACTTTGGGAGGCTGAGGTAGGAACATCACTTAAGCCCAGGAGTATGAAACTAGCCTGGGCAACATAGAGTCCATCTCTACAAAAAATAAAAGTAAAATAAAATAAATTAGCAGCCGGGCGCGGTGGCTCACACCTGTAATCCCAGCACTTTGGGAGGCCGAGGCAGGTGGATCACCTGAGGTCAGGCGTTCAAGACCAGCCTGGCCAACATAGTGAAACCCCATCTCTACTAAAAATACAAAAAATTAGCCGGGCATGGTGGTGAGTTCTTGTAATTCCAGCTACTCGGGAGGCTGACACAGGAGAATAGCTTGAACTCAGGAGGCGGAGGTTGCAGTGAGCCGAGATTGCACCACTGTACTCCAGCCTGGGTGACAGAGTGAAACTCCATATGAAAAAAAAGAAAGAAATTAGCCAGGCATGGTGGTACACCCCTCTGGTCCCAGCCACTCAGGACCGAAGCAGGAGGACTGCTTGAGCCCAGCCATTCGAGGCTGCAGTGAGCTGTGATCATGCCACTGCTCTCCAGCATAGGCAACAGAGCAAGACTCTGTTTAAAAAAAAAAAATTTAAAAAAAAAATTTTTTTTTTGATGACCATGATTACATATTATAAAATTGACTCTAGTTAGTTACTGTTGTCCTTTTGGTTTTCTTCTTCAAGGTGTTTCCTCCATTCAGACTTCTTCCAGAGAAAATGACACTGATTCCAACAAATATGATGCAGGTAAACTTAAAGGCAGAAAAATAAGATTTACATTTTATCTTTACCTCTCTCTCTGTCACACACACACACACACACACACACACACACACACACCCTCTTCCTATTGATCTCTTATCTAGTCTCACCCAAGTACTACTGGATCTGATAAAGAACAAGATTAGTATTTTCCCTGACCCATGATGTATATCATATAAAGACTGTTAGAATCCCATGGATCATTTGCGGTACTTCCATTTCTTCTACATTTGAGTCGATATGGGATATGTTATTCAAGAAATGGGAGAAGATGAAGAAGTCAAGTTTCTTGGACAAAATTTTGGGAAAAGACACATGATTTTTCCCTCATGTTCTAGGCATTCAATGGTATATTTAAATTCCAGGTAATATCTGAAGGTGGTCCCCAGCCACAATCCATCATTCATTTCTCCATCAGTAATCAGACGGTGGCTGTTGTTAATAGGAAGGGGCAAGTTACAGGGAAGATGATTGGCACAGCTGTGGTTCATGGCACCATCCAGACAGTAAATGAAGATACTGGCAAAGTCATTGTGTTTTCCCAGGTATTGGTTATTTGTTCTGCTCTGCTTCTACTCTTCTATCCAGGAACCATATTGGGTGAGATGGGGAGGGAATGGTAATGAGGAGGGTGTCAGCAGCCCAGGAAAAGCCTTTTAGTGCCCCCATCTGGCATTCTGTCAACCAGGCATGGAAAATATTTCATCTTTAGTTAAAACCCTACAGAGTAGTTGGCATTGTTATAAGATATGGTCCCCATCCTTAAAGAATTCTGTGAAGAAGAGAAAAAGAAATACATCTATCTAATAGGGTAAATGGGGTATCCACCACCTCAAGCATTTATCCTTTCTATGTTACAGAAATCCAATTATACTCCTTAGTTATTTTTAAATCAACAATAAGTTATTGTTGACCGTAGTCACTCTCTTGTGCTATCAAATACTAGATCTTATTCATTCTATCTAACTATATTTTTGTACCCATTAATCATCCCCATTTCCCCCCTACCCACCCACTACCCTTTCCAGCCTCCGGTAACCATCATTCCACTCTTTATGAGTTCGACTGTTTTAATTTTCAGCTTCCACAAATATATAAGTGAGAACATGTGAACTTTGTCTTTGTCTTTCTATGCCTGGCTTATTTCACGTGACATAATGATCTCTAGTTCCATTCATGTTGTTGCAAATAATAGGATCTCATTCTTTTTATGGGTGAATAGTACTCTGTTGTATATATGTACCACATTTTCTTTATCTATTTGTTTGTTGATGGACACTTAGGTTGCCTCCAAATCTTGGCTATTGTGAATAGTGCTACAATAAACATGGATAAGGTTTTTTACTGAATGTCAAAAACAATAACAAACTGGTTATCATAAGGATCTCTGTCCACCCCACAGAAACTCCCTGTTAGCCTAAGCTTGCTCTCTACCCTGTTGAGCAGGATGAAGTACAGATTGAAGTTGTTCAGCTAAGGGCTGTTAGGATCCTTGCAGCTGCAACTCGGCTCATCACAGCTACCAAGGTCAGTATAATGGCTGTGTTCAGGGCTCATTATTCTGATAATTGCAACTGGGTAGGATACATAGCACAATGCCACTATTTCTTTTCAGATGCCAGTCTATGTCATGGGAGTTACCAGTACCCAGACCCCTTTCTCCTTCAGCAATGCTAATCCTGGGCTCACATTCCACTGGTCTATGAGCAAAAGAGATGTATTGGATCTAGTGCCCAGGCATTCAGAGGTAAGAATTTATCTGTTTATTATGTTAGCATAGAGATCTTGACATTAATTTTATTTTATCATAAGTTTTTTTTTGTTTTGAGATGGGGTCTCACTCTGTCACCTGAGCTGGAGTACAGTGGTATCATCTCCACTCACTGCAACCTCTGCCTTCCAGGCTAAACTGATCCTCCCACCTCAGCCTCCCAAGTAGCTGGGACTACAGGCGCATGCCACTATGCCTGGATAATTTTTTTGTATTTTTTTGTTGAGATGGGGCTTTTTTGCCTTGTTACCCAGGCTGTTCTCAAACTCCTGAGCTTAGGTCATCCACCCACCATGGATGGCCTCCCAAAGTGCTGAGATTACAGGCATGAGCCATCACTCTCAGCCTATCATAAATTTTATTTATTTATTTATTTATTTTTTTTTTGAGACGGAGTTTCGCTCTCGTTACCCAGGCTGGAGTGCAATGGCACGATCTCGGCTCACCGCAACCTCCGCCTCCTGGGTTCAGGCAATTCCCCTGCCTCAGCCTCCTGAGTAGCTGGGATTACAGGCACGCACCACCATGCCCAGCTAATTTTTTGTATTTTTAGTAGAGACGGGGTTTCACGATGTTGACCAGGATGGTCTCGATCTCTTGACCTCGTGATCCACCCGCCTCGGCCTCCCAAAGTGCTGGGATTACAGGCTTGAGCCACCGCGCCCGGCCTCGCCTATCATAAATTTTAGACTGATTACTCACTCTCTAAACTATACAATATTATTACTTATTTACTTTGCCTATTGTTCTCTGAACTCTGGAAACCTGCAAAGCAATAAAGAATCCAAATTTGAGTATGCAGATAATACTGTATGATTTTTTATTTTTATGTTTTTGCTGGAAAGAGCTCTCAAAAGTGATCTTTAATATTGTATTTATTATATAATGTTATTGTAATAATGTATTTGTGAGCAAATGACTATATTAGATGAGTAACACTATGAATAAAGTATATATGCATAGAGTTTAAATATATAATTTTTACTGTTTTATGTTGAGACACATTTGATTATATTCACAATCATGTTTGTGGTACATGATGGGTGATTACATCAACAGTAAGAAATGTGGAGGGTTACAGATGGCATTGCTCTGTTTAGCATGTTCGTGGCCCTCCCTACTTAGAACTAAGGAAGAACTGGATCCCCATGTCAGGCACTGCAGGTACCATGGGGCTATAGTTGCCCACCAACTGGCAACTGATTCTGGACTGGGTATCTTATATCAATGACAAATTTAAGAAGAGCGATTAATTAAAAGACTGGGCGCAGTGGGTCACTCTTGTAATCCCAGCACTTTGGGAGGCCAAGGCAAGCAGATCACCTGAGGTGGGGAGTTCAAGACAAGCCTGACCAACATGGAGAAACCCCGTCTCTACTAAAAATACAAAAATTAACCAGGTATGGTGGCACATGCCTATAATCCCAGCTACTCAGAAGGCTGAGGCAGGAGAATCACTTGAACCCGGGAAGCAGAGGTTGCAATGAGCCAAGATCACACCATTGCACTCTAGCCTGGGCAACAAGAGCGAAACTCTGTCTCAAAAAAAAAAGAACGGTGATTAATTAAACTGCCCCTCCATGGTTCCCTTTGGTATCTAGTGGGGTTGGCTCCTCCCAGTTCACTACCTGCTGTGTCTGGAACCACAGAAGACCTCAGGATGGACATCTAGGATATCCACAGTTCAACTTGACAGTATATCTCTCTGAAAAAAAAACTTTGATGTTTTGATGTACATAGCATTAAACCTCACACTGAAACCTGAAAAAGACCAAAAAAAAAAAAAAGAAAGTTTGGGAGAAACTACGTAAAGTTTACTACAGACAAATTTTACATAGTTCAATGAAACTCACCCAAGGTGGTTTGAGGACAGTGGCAACAGCTAGGTCTGGGTTTTACCTTAGGAAAAGGGACCTGGGGCCATGAGACCCAGCAGGTCACAATTCAGTGCTCATGAGAACAGATAATTAGAGTTGTATCTTGGGAGGTAATAGAGGGGTTACAGGAGCTAGAATGAGGAGGATATTTCTGTAGCCAGCTAAAAAGAAAAGAGAACTTTGGAAAAAGTAAAAAATATATATTTGTAATCTTTCTAAAAATATCCTTAACCTATAATTTAGGGAGACTCTGGTGGTTAGATCTTCTGTTTGTGACTTCCCAGAGTCTGGTTATACTGGAATTGTGAAAGAATGGAACTGTCCTTAGTTTGACATAATTTAGCACAAGGATTTGGCTTTTTTCTTTTCTTTATTTTTTATTTTTTTGAGACAGAGTTTCGCTGTTGTTGCCCAGGCTGGAATGCAATGGCGTGATCTCGACTCACTGCAACCTCCACCTCCCAGGTTCAAGCGATTCTTGTGCCTCAGCCTCCTCAGTAGTTGGGATTACAGGTGCCCACCACTACGCTCGGCTAATTTTTTGTATTTTAGTAGAGACGGGGTTTCACCATGTTGGCAAGGCTGGTCTCACACTCCTGACCTCAGGTGATCCACCCACCTTGGCCACCCAAAGTGCTGGGATTACGGGCATGAGCCACCATGCTCAGCGGGCTTTTCTCTTGAATAACAAACAGGAGTGTGCGAAAGGAGGGAATGGCCTAGGCCTTGGCCTCTATTCTAGTTCTCCCTTTCTTTAATTAGTTTTAATCTAAAGCATCACTCTTCTCTCCAGCAGAAGAAATAATTGAGAGCCATACAGACTTTTACTTTTCCTGCCTCAGATCTAGCATAGGCAAATTGGGTAATGAAATGGGCTATAGAAAAGCCTTCATGAGGCCTGTAATCCCAGCACTTTGGGAGGCCAAGGTGAACGGATCACTTGAGGTCAGGACTTTGAGACTAGCCTGGCTAATATGATGTAACCCCATCTCTACTAAAAATACAAAAATTATCTGGGCGTGGTACCACACACCTGTAATCCCAGCTACTTGGGAGGCTGAAGCAGAATGGCTTAAACCTGGGAGGTGGAACTTGCAGTGAGCTAAGATCACACCACTGCACTCCAGACTGGGTGACAGAGTGAGATTCTATCTCAAAAAATAAAAATAAAAAAATAAAAAGGCCGGGCACAGTGGCTCACACCCGTAACCCAAGCACGTGGGAGGCCGAGGCACTTGAGCCCAGGAGTTCAAGATCAGCCTGAGCAACACGGCAAAACCCCGTCTCTACCAAAAATACAAAATTAGCTAGGCTTGGTGGTGCACACCTGTAATCCCAGCTACTCAGAAGGTTGAGGCAGGAGGATTCCTTGAACCCAGGAGGCAGAGGTTGCAGTGAGCTCAGATTGCACCACTGGACTCCAGCCTGGGCAACAGAGCAAGACCGTGTCTCAAACAAAAAAGTCTTCATGGGCTGAGGTGCAGTGGCTCACAGCTGTAATCCCAGGACTTTGGGAGGCCGAGGCGGGTGGATCACTTGAGCCCACGAGTTTGAGACCAGCCTCAGTAACATAATAAGACCCCATCTGTAAAAAAAGTTTTAAAATTAGGTAGGTGTGGTGGCACACACCTGTAGTCTTAGCTACTTGGGAAGCTGAGGCAAGAGGAACACTTGAGCCCAGGAGGTTGAGGTTCCAGTGAGCTGCACATACACCATCGTACTCCAGCCTAGAAGACAAAGTGAGACCCTGTCTGTCAAAAGAAGCTCACAAAAAAGAAACTGATTTCATCATTTCTATTCTTCTTTCATTAAAAAAAGAATTGACTTTGAGGTAATATAAAAAAGAATCTTAGGGAGGCTTGCCAGAATTAATTGAGCACTACAAACAGAGGTTTAGTTTAGGGTAACTATGCTGCTGGGAATATGAAATCACTAAGAAAACAATCTCTTGTACACTATTTCTCCTCCTCCTCCTCCTGTTCTTCTTCTTCCTTCTTCTTTTTTCTTTGTCTTTTATTCTTTCTTTTTTCTTTTTTTGATACAAGGTCTATTATATTGCCCAGGATGATCCCAAACGTTTATGCTCAAGCAATCCTCCTGCCTCAGTATCACAAGCAGCTGGGATTGCAGGGGTGTACCAATATTCCCAGCTCTCTAGTTCTTCTAGAAAGCTATTTCCAACATAAGTTTTCCTTATTGTTACAACAAATAAGGAAAGATTAGCCAGGCATTGTGGAATGTGCCTATTGTTCCAGCTACCTTGGGAAGCTGGGGCAGGAGGACCATTTAAGCCTAGGAGCTCTAGGCTACAGTGACCCATGACTGTACCACTGCACCTCAGCCTGAGGCATAGAGCGAGATCCTGTTTCTAAAAAACAAGTAGTGCTCACTTTGGCAGTATATCTACTAAAATTGGAATGATACAGAGAAAATTAGTATGTCCCTTGCACAGGGATGACATGCAAATTTGTAAAGTGTTCTATATTTTTTAAGAGGTAGAGAGAGAAGTCAGGGTAGAAAGTTTATTCAAAGGGATAATAACAGAGAACTTCCCAAATCTAAAGAAAGATATCAATATTTAAATATAAGAAGGTTATAGAACACCAAGCAGATTTAATCCAAGTAAGGATACCCCAAAACATTTAATAGTCAAACTCCCAAAGGTCAAGTATAAAGAAAGGATCCTAAAGCAGAAGGGAAAAGAAACAATATACAAAGGAGCTCCAATATGTCTCGCAGAGGACTTCTCAGTGAAAACCTGATAGGCCAGGAGAGAATAGCATGACATATTTAAAGTGCTGAAGGAAAAAAAACTTTTATCCTAGAATTGTATATCCAGTGAAGTTATCCTTCAAAGGAGAAATAGTTTCCCAGAAAAGCAAAAGCTGAGGGATTTCATCAACACCAGACCTGTCCTACAAGAAATGCTAATGGGAATACTACAATCTGAAAGAAAAGGACATTAATGAGCAATAAGAAATCTGAAGGTACAAAACTCACTGGTAATAGCAAGTACACAGAAAAACACAGAATATTATAATAATGTAATTGTGGTGTATAAACTACTCATATCTTGAGTAGAAAGACTAAAAGATGAAC